CTTTTATAATTACATCAAAATTGTTATCCTGAGTTTTCAGCAATAAGATGATCTGATCAACTTTTGATTGAATTTAAATAATTGTTATCTTAAACGATATTTATTTGGTTATTTTGTTAAAAAATATTCATGTTTTATTTTTATTTTTTTCCTTTTGGATTTCACAGAAAATTCAGAAAGGCATTTGGCAGATATAGACTATGATGGTCCACATACGCATCCAACCCCTCCTCCTAATCTTAAACTTTAAACATGGTGTTGTTATAAGCTACCAATAATGGCATATTACTAAAGGGCAATAACAGTATGTGAGGGTAAATCTTAATCGCAGTTGCAAAAATGATTGTCATATTGTTATTCATGTTAGGGGACTGTGTCTTCTTCTTTCACATTTTTCTCTCTCTAAATAAATTACATTTTTTATTAAGCAATATATAAAGGTAATTATTGGTATATAAGTCATTGTAATGAGAATAATTATATCTATAAACTTAATTGAAATAGACAAATAATATACTTTTTTAATATTCTTGTTCAATCATTGAATAATTATCATATTGTTAAGAATTATTAATTTTTATAATAATCACTTTAAAAGTCATACCTAAAATAATTTATAATGGATTAATAGTATAAAAAGTCTTACACTAACAGTGTATGAATATTTAACTCATTACATATTACCAAAAAAATAAAAAATTATATCTATTGCCAATGAATGCAAACTGAGCCGATCATCAATAATTAAGAATAATACTATTTTACTTAAAAATTTAGGTTAATGAAGAAGAACCAGTAAGAGACTTACCTCCTGAACACCAAATGTAACCCCAAAGAGAAAATAATTTAAAGCAATGTTGATAACTTTTGGTGTATATCCCAAAACGATCGAGTTTGATTCCTTACTCTTGAGTATATCCCAAAATAATTTGCAGTTATAATATTGTTATATCCTGTTTTTACTTTTTTTTGGGTGAAATCTTGTTTTTACTTTAAGGAATAAAATTAATTATATGTTATGGTGTAATTATGAAGTATATTTGAATAAAAAAGACAATGATTTGAAGTTTCATTGACAATTTATTTAATTTGGTTACAATTGAACAAAAACAACAGTGGAAAGAAAAAAGGTATAATAACATTTGAAAATAGCAAAGAAAAGTCTTGAGAAGCTGATAGGTCAGAAATCACCAAAATTGACCACAATCACCCCAGTAAGAAAGGACGGTGTGAATTTCAGCCTATTGCCCTTAATTTCCGAAACTAATTATAAAGCTGAGATTCTGCTCTACATCTTACTTAACATATTTTTAATTATTAGTCAAAATTTATTAAAAATTATAAAAATATTAATTTAAAAGTGAGAGAAAGTTTAATTTATATTCTTACTTTATCGTGTTTTCTTGGTATTTACTTAATCATTCATGTATCTATTTTTAATTAGTTATTTCTTTCATTTTTAAGACTTCTGGGTTGTTAAGAATTTAATACAAAAGATGTCATCTGATGTGACTTTTTTTTAAACATGTTTTCTTATATAAAGGAGAAGTATTACAGTGTAATTAGGCCATAAGAACAAATCAATTATTTTTATTATTATTTTGTGGAAGTTACTTTCCCTCGAATTGAGGTTACCACTCTCTTTTAGTTCCTATCACATGAGGATTTAATCTTGTGCTGTAACAGGTTTTCTTATTGCGTGATTTGAAGAATGACCAAAATTCAATGGTAATTATAGTTTTTATGTGTATCCTTTCTAATAATTTTTATGCATTTAATATGTTTTTAATCATATTTAATAAATTATATATACAATGAAAACCAGTAAGCAATTACTTATACTTTTCAAAAACTCTAAAATTAATTACTTTCAATAAATTTTTATTTTATTTTAAAATATTGATTATTCATATTCTTGAATAAATTAAATTTAAATTTAATTATATGTGAAATTAAAATATAAATTTTAATGGTGAAATAAGTTTTATTTTTCTTAAATAATGATGACCTCATTTATTTATTTTTTCAATTCAAAATTTTTGAATTAATTATCCATTTTTTTATAATGTTAAATAATAAATACTTTATCTTTGAACATGTGTGTGTGTATATATATATTGTAAAATATTTTAAAATTAAATAATTATACATATACATAATTTATAAAAAATATTAAATGTAGTTTTTATTGATATTTAAAATTTTATTTACATTTACAAAACTCATATAATACATAAAATACTTATTAATTAATAATAATTTTCAATAAAATAAATAAATGCCATGAGCAACTGCTACACTGGATGATATGCATGCGAATGTTTCAAAGAATTAATCTGAAGCAAGCAGAATATATATATATATATATATATATATAATGATACCCAGCCAATTTTTCAAAGTAGAATGATTGACCTCCTCTAATGACAGATAAGCCTGCATAGAATTAGCCCCGTGAAAACCTTGTAAGTTTTTATAAAGGTATTTAATTTTTATAGACTATAGAGTGGAAATTTTCCATTAATTAGAAAGAATTGATGGTTTATGATAATTGGATCCTTAATTAATTAAAATGATGTCGACACTAGACTGAAGATATTAAATGGCTTTGGAATAACTACAAGAACGGCTGCATGGTTGCTTATTCCACACATGCTTACAAACTCATTCTCCCACATCTAAAATGCCAGCACTGCCAAAGATTATCATAAATTTATAATATCAATGACTATTTCATAAATAATAATAGCTGAGTCAAAGAGTATTAAGAAGGAAGAAATTAAGGAAAGGTAAGCTTCGGATAGAATTAAAATTGTTATTAGGATTCTAATTTCTTATACTGGGCAATTAATAATAAATATTTTTGTTAAGTAGTGTCTTTAAGATATTTTTTAATCAAAATTTTAAGTACAATTTTATCAGCATTTTTTCATATGAATCATGTAACCAAATTAAAGGAATGTTTGAAAGAGTTTATAAAAAAATTATAACTTTGATACATCATGATGCAAAAAATTAAAATAAACATTGAATTAAAAAAGAATGTTAAACGTTGGAAAATGTCCACATCAGTGGCCAGCAGATAAGAGAAGATGAGATGGAATTGACCTTGGCAACTGCCACCAACCCCAAATAACGGTTGCCTGCGCTCAAAACCACAAACAAATCTTAATTAGCCAACAAAGAGAACAGTGATTAAGTCAAACCTCCACACAGTGCTACTTCAATACACATTCAAAACTATTTTTTATTTTCTAATCATCTTTTATATTTTGAGAAAAGGAAATTGATCACTTGTTTTAGTCAACGTTAAATTGTTTACAGATTTTGATGCCGGTTTACAACGCAGTCATGAAAACCATCTTTAAAATTTACTTATCTTACACTATAATAGAAATTAGTAGGCCATGCTTAACGATTCAGAGAAGGATACGGAAAATTATTCTTTCATATTTGATTCATTTTCTGAAACTTTTTGACAAGTTCTTGCCTTCTTAATTTATCATCTCTTTTATTGGTTTGTTTTCTTATAATAACTGAGTTTTTTTAATTTAGTTAATGACAATAATAAATATTAAGACAAAATTTAGGTACTATTTTTAAAAGCTGTTAGTATTGTTCACCAATTAAAATTTTATATTTAATATTTTGAAACTTATTGAAATAAAACTCTAAGTTTAATTGAATATTAACCACGTTGAAATAAAACTCTAAGTTTAGTCCTAAATAATATTTGACCAAAAAAAAAAAAAAAGAAGCATTTGAGGGTCACATAACATCCGTTCGTAAAAATAAAGAAATAATTTTAAAGTTGTATGATATTTCTTCTTAATATTCTTATTTATTGTGTAAAAAGTGTTAAATATTTTTTTGTCTTTGATATATTAAAATGATTGATGCAAAGTTTACTAGGACAATATATCATTACTCGACTATAAAACTTTGAACTGTTTTTACAACATAGACTTTGCTTGTATAACTATTATAAATGGAGTTTGTCCTTCTAGTTAAGTAAATGGAACTTCCACCATTTTCTTAACCTTAAAAAGTGTGAAAAGTTTTAAATTATTTATTATCTTAACATCTCAAATTAAAATTATTTAAGTATTATTCTTAACTATACCTATATATATATATATATATAACACCTAAATATATATATATATATATATATTAAAATAATAAAAAAGATACAAAACGTTCCAATATATAAATAATTTTTTAACGTGTATGTTAAGTACACAAAAAAATTAGTGAGTAAGATATTCTTATTATATGATATATTATCAGAAATATTATTGCATACTTGAAAAACCACGTTTAAAAAATGGAATAAAATTAAGAGAAGAACGAGTCCAGCGTGGCTGTGTGCTGATTCCAAAATTCTAGAAACCGGCCATTCAATTTGGAACCTCGTTGCCTATTCTGGAGCGGCGTGCCCCCACAAAAGATGTGGTCAAACATCAATGAACCTTTTAACATTAACATTTCACCATTCCCTTCAAATACTTTCCCATCATTTAATAATTAAAAATAACTATTTACAAAAATTAAATTTACCCTTTTTAATCGCGTTACTTATTGTATTTTTTCTTTTTTCTTCTCATTTTGTGTGTTTATAATTCAATGAAAAAAAATGATAGGGTCTCTAAATCAGAGGAGGGAAAAAAAAAAGTGGGGCCCACTTTGACCCTTCGCCACGACACACATTCTCTCCTTTAAATACCACCCTGATTTTTCGCTCTCCCTCTCGTCATTGCACAACACAGTGGATACAAAGGAACAAAATAAACAACAAGAAGAAGAACAAGAACGAGAACCATAGTTCCAACGTTGTCATTGATTGCAACATGTCTTGTTCCGTAGCAGTTCAAAGTTCCTCTGCGTTTCCTCTCTTCTACGACAACAACAACTCTTCAACCCCAGAACCTCTCACTCTCTCTCTTCCAATTCTCAATACTACGCCTTCAACGACGCCGTCTTGTTCACCACCCTCTTCACCCCTATTGAAGAGGAAGAGACCCGCCAAGCTTCACATTCCCATAGCTTCTTCTCTCACTTTTGAGGTCCCGCCGCCGGCGACTTCGCCGGCGAGTGACGTCGTCGAGGTTGAGGGACGTGGGTTTTCCGTGTATTGCAAGAGAGGAAAGAGACCCCACATGGAGGATCGTTACTCTGCTGCCGTTGATCTTCATGGAGAACCAAAACAGGTAATTAGAAATAAAATAAAAAATTAAAAAAAACTTTTGTTTTGTAACTTTGGTATTGGATTGCGTGTGTATCTGGGACGTGGAGTTGTCAAAAAGTTACAGGCTTCGAAGAATTGAATAGTGGTGAATTTTTATAGGTCCATTTTGAATGTTCTAATTAATAATTTATGTAGAGTTTTAAGGCAAATATTTGGCTTGAAAAAATTGGGTTCTAGGAAGATTAATTTTCAAATTTATAAGATCTTCTTGCCTTACACGTTTTCATGAGTAAAAGTGGTAGAGCTTTAAGTTTAAGTTCAGCGCTTTGAGCAATTGTTATTTGAAGATAAAATCTTATCTTGGTCTTGCAATGTGTATAGATAGCTGAAGCAAGTAAATTTGGAACAATGACTTTTTAAATATGTTAATACTGAAATTAAGCAACTAATAATAGTAAGTGGAATGAAATTTGCTTTTTATTTTTAATGAGCCAAATGGATGCAAATGCAACGAGTTCTAACATGAAATTTTTTTTTTATTGTTACAGGCTTTTTTTGGTATATTTGATGGGCATGGGGGAACAGAAGCTTCGGAGTTTGCTGCACATAACTTAGAAAAGAATGTGTTGGATGAAGTCATTGGGAGAGATGAGAGTGACATTGAGGAGGCAGTGAAGCATGGATACCTCAACACAGATTCTGATTTCTTGAAGGAGGATCTTAATGGTGGCTCTTGCTGTGTAACAGCGTTGATTAGGAATGGTAACCTTGTTGTGTCCAATGTTGGTGATTGTCGTGCTGTCATTAGCAGAGGGGGTGTTGCAGAAGCCCTCACATCTGATCACAAGCCTTCAAGGGAAGATGAAAGGGACAGAATTGAGACTCAGGTAATTAACCAATTGACTTAAAGCTATGTTTGGATTTGTGTTTAAATAACCATGTATCCTGATACGATTTTCTATTTGTCTTTGATCATTGGAAATTAACGTGTTGGTTTGAGTATGTTCTCATTCAAGTTCTTAATTTGACACTTGTTGACTTTTTTGTAGGGTGGCTATGTTGATATGTGTCGTGGTGTTTGGAGGATCCAGGGATCATTGGCTGTTTCTAGAGGAATTGGAGATAGACACCTTAAACAATGGGTGATAGCAGAACCTGAGACCAAAGTTCTCAGAATTGAAACTCAACATGACTTGTTAATCTTAGCTTCAGATGGATTATGGGAAAAGGTATGCATATATGATTTGAGCAATTATTTAGTAGTTTCTTTTATATGATTATTACTTAACTATTAACTGATTATTTGAATATTGTTTTTTCAGGTTAGTAACCAGGAAGCAGTGGATATTGCTCGTCCTTTATGTGTAGAGAGCAATAGACAACAACCATTGGTGGCTTGCAAAAAGCTTGTTGATTTATCTGTGTCACGAGGCTCTGTGGATGATATAAGTGTTATGATTATCAAATTGCAAAATTATATTTGAAGTCTCATTGATACAAGTGGAGAAAGCTTGGGAGGAGGGTAAAGGGGGCCTCCTCCATCTTTCTTCTTGAATCTTAGCATTCTATAAGATGATGAATGTTAGATTACGATTAAAGGAAAGAAGCTGGTGTACTGAAATTAGGAGTACCTACTTTTAATTTGTACATATCCAACGAGTGATAACACTGGTGACCCTTAGCTGTGGGGAACATAGGAGATTTTAGCACTAAGTTAAAGCAGTTTTTGGGTAGAATGACCTTTTTGATGCAATAAGCATTTTTGGGATGTAAAATATAGTCACCGAGGGTTCAACTTATATCCTCATGCAAAAATGTTTCATTAGTCCATTTGGCTACGTTGAAAATAAGTGTTTCATTATTTTATGTAATTCATGTTCTTAATTGAAGTTATCAAGTGCCTCGTCTCTCTCTCTCTCTCTCTGGATACTTAACGTTAAGTTGAAAACAATAATTCTAATTAACTATCTATCTTACAAGATGTAACAGCCAAACCAAATGATGCTGCTTATTTATATAATTCTCTCGAATTAATTGTGGGTTAGACACAAGATTAACAGGAGTATATATGATCCCCTTTACTTCGGAAGAGATTATGGTTATGTTTAAATAAATAGAAGAGATAAAATGAAGATGAAATTATATTGAATTTTATTGATTAAATTATTTAAAGTAAGATGAAATAAAATGTAACCTTGGATTTCATTTCATTTATTATTTTATTCTCTATAGGATGTAAAGACCGAATCAGTCATTTTTTTAGGTTTTATGAATATTCAAATAATAATAATATAACATTTTATTTTATTTGATTTCCTTCATCATTAGATATCTATAATCTTAAGGAACTTGAATTCAAATTTTTAATAAATTATCTCTTCTATAATTATATATAAATGTGTTTTATGTAGTAAATAAAGTTGCCTCAAGCAACGCCAGATCAAACATTGAAAAAGAGTTTGTGTATCACGGACATTTTTTTTTTTTTTGGAGTTTTGTCTAATTTACTTTTAAATAATTACATTTTATACAGATTCATAAGATTAATATTTACATTACTTTTTATTTTATTTTTTATATATAAAATCCCGTTAGTGTAACTACTTAAAGTGAGATTTATTTATTTCATAGAATAACTTAAATAAATCCTTTTATTGGTAGATATTTTATAAGTTTAGTTGTATGTTCGCTAAGATCTGCCGTACGTGGGTGAAATTAAGAAGCAACCTCTGTTCCCTAATCTTTTATTAAAAAACCAAATCAAATTTATTTATAAAACAATGGGAGGCAACCCTACGTCAATGCTTCGAGAAAGTAGGATGTGTAACAGGTTTTGGATTAAACAAATAACAGCTCATCATAAAATTTTAAAGCAAAATTGCTACGAACACATATTTTATATTTTTGTTTGAAAATTAATAGACAAAGTCTTCCAATGTTTTCGAACTTTTCATGAGTGAAATTGTTGGAATATGAATGGTTTGCCAACTTCTGACTTTTATTATACTTTTCCTCTCTCATGAGTTGACTTCGTAAAGCATTGAAATGAAACAATGGGAATATAGTTATTGTTTTGTTTGGGGAGCTGAAATTGAGATAAGGTCAAACATGCATAAAGTTTATGACACCAAGGGAAAAAAATAACTCTTCTTACGAAATTTTGAGAACTAGTGGGAAAGCGATTGTTTAGAACCATAATCACAATTTGGTAAAAGAATTGACCAAGTTTCGTGGCCATTAGAAGCATAGAAAATGTCCACTATGGACCAAATAAAGATATAGAATATCTTGCATATATATGTGCTGCATAGCGTGCACTCATTTTTGTTTACGGCAACCACACATGAATGTTGAATAATATGAATCACCTTCTTGTCACCACAAAACAACGTGGGGGATGGTTGACTGCAAATACTTTTTCACCCATTGTGTATAACCTATCTGGATGTAGCCTAATTCAAATCCCATTTGCATCAAAAGAATTCAATGAAGTTCTACAACTCAATATGTTGCTGTGTAGTGAATAGTTTTGATTTTTAATAAAGTGAAGTTATTTTATTTTATTGTTAAATATACAAATTGATTTAAGGTGCGAGATACATAAGTCAAACGCATACATATATAAAAGAATAATACTTTGTCTTTTAAGTAAGATTAATTTTTCTAAGTAAAAACTACTTTTTATTTAAAATCAAATTTTAAACAAATCGTTTTGATGTCATTTCTTATGAAATTTAAATTAAATGGATCCTTACTAATTTTATTTTATGAAGTAACAAATAAATTTCATTTGAAAGTCTTAAAAACTTATTGGAGTTTGCATATAACGTATTATTATCTAAGTTAATTTTACATAAAGAGTGATCTTAACTTGTACTCCGTTCATTTAATTACGTGAGACAAGAAATAACAATAAAAATAATATATTTAATTTTTAGTCTAGTATTTTACAATTTTAAGAAAATACATGTACGATTTTATTAAATAAGAAACGAGACATTAAGTATTGATATATATGTATTGAACAACAATGAAGTGATGATGAGAAAATGATATTTGATGTGGTTTGACTTGAGATAGACTGGGTATGAATGGGGCCAAAGGGAGCTTTGAGGAACTTAATTCACACAAGTTTTCAGTTTGCGGCCACTTTCTTGTAGACGCAACTTGTTCTCTTTAAGGTTTGAAGAGTTGTGCGCACTATGGTTAGTGTGTGTCCTTGGAAATAGTATAATATAGGAGAAGCATGATCATGCAACTAACTCGAATATCCAATCCCAACCAACGTTAGTGATATCTAGTACATGTCGTCTTCTACTATTTGGGCTGCGTTTACAGACACAGATCAGGGCCACCCAAGATAAATAAAAAATGATTTTTTTTAATTATCTATTGACTAATTTTTTTTTAAATTGTTTTTTCTGAAAAGAAATTATTTTAAATAAAGATAAATGATTTATGGCGTCACAAAATATGCAAGTCAAAGTCATGAAGCACTTTGCTAACCGTCTTAACAACTACCTCATCCAAACCAAAGCATGTGTAACCGAGTAAAATACAACACATTTATATTCCATATTTCTACATAATGCTGAGTCTTCACCTTGGTGTCGTCATGTGAAAATGATCAAAATTGAAGTTTACTAAGAAATCATTTGCTACGCGTCAATATGTGCTTGCAATATAGAGACCACTCCCCACTAATCCTTATCCATTTGATGGTGGAAGGCACCACCACCCTCCAAGTTGTGTCTACGCAAGCCAAATGGCAAAGTGCTACAAACTCAATTTGCTTCTACTTGTTGCCTTTTCGAGCTTTTCTTCATGAATTAAGAAAACAAAATGCAGAATCATGTTGAATTGGATCCAAATTTCCTTTTCAAACTTCGTTTTTCCTTACACATATCTAGTTTTGTGCAAAAAGTAATGTTATGTGGACTACCCCTCCTTTCATTTCCCTTTCCCCCTGCGTAACGCTGTTGTGTTCATTTTTTTAAATCCCTTTTGGGTCAATTTGATTCCAATGTCCCCCACAAGCATTCACGTGATGACAAGTGGCACTACTACAATAGTTTTAAGTCCACTGAACTTGAGTTTTGATTTGCATGCACGAAATCAGTGGAAAGAAAAGAAAAGAAAGATAAAAGCAATTCATAAAAGGACACGCTTATCTTCCCCTTAATTAATTTTGTATAATAATTTGTCACAAGGGAAAATAGGTAATGTGAGGGTTCTAAATAGCGTATTAAAATGTCAAGGAGAAACAAAGAAGGAAATCCTATGATGCAAGCTTGGTTCTGATCTTCAAAAAGATACGTCTAGATTTGGGGCCCTTACCAAAAAAATAAAGTATTCACATGCAACAAAATTCTCAGCAAAAGAAACCAAATAAAATAATTTTCATTACATTTGGGACAATAGCATCTAATCTAATATACATATCTAATGGATGCTGGTGGTGCACGTCAAGAGACTTGCACTCTAACAAAATATTGTGTGGCTAAAAGCCACACACAAGCATCATGGAATGGGATCTCCTCTACCAGCCTCTCTTGCCCACTTCTATTTTACTGTGTTCTGTTCCTCTTAGCCTAAAATAATAACCACTCAACCAGAAAAAGGCCAAATTCCTCACTACAGCCACATGTTCTAATTGATATTGTTCCTTAGCTAAAGGAAAATTTAACTAAAAAAGTTCTCTTGGAAGGTAATAAAACCAAACCCCTAACTGATTTCATCTTATATACAATGAATAATTGCGTAATTATTCCACGTAAAAGTAAAATGGGTAAAGGTAAATATAAAATTAAAATGGATAAGGATTAAAACACCCTTAAAAAAAATATATATTCAATCCTTTCTTTACCCCTCGTTTACGTCAAGAACTTGGCAATTTGAAACCTTTTCGACCACCGTTTTTGTTATTTATCCACTTTCATAAAATTCCACGTTGGACATAAAAGGAAAAAAATACAAAAATTAAAAGGTCGAGTGTGAGACCAAACACAGCAAACACCCACTATATATAGTTTCATCCTCAGCAATTGGACACTAAGAAACATAAAACACATTATTTCATTTATTTGAATGGGTTCTTGGATAAGAGGGAAGTGTATAGGTAAGGGCGCGTTTGGCAGCGTTAGCATCGCGCTTCGCAAATTCGACGGTTTCCTGTTCGCGGTGAAGTCCGTGAATCTCAAAACGGGTCTCCCGGGTCAACTCGAAGCGTTAGAGAATGAGATTCGGATCCTCCAACGCATGTCCTCGCCGCACGTGGTGACTTTCCTTGGCGATGACGCCACGTGCGAGCACCGGAACCTCCACTTGGAGTACCTGCCAGGTGGCACACTTGCTGACGTGGATGGTGACATGGACGAGATTTTAGTAAGACACTACACGTGGTGCTTGGTGAGCGCTCTGCAACACGTGCACTCTAACAGCGTCGTTCACCGTGACGTGAAGGGGAAGAATGTCCTCGTCGGAGCCAGCGGCTGCAAGCTCGCCGACTTCGGATCGGCGGTGGAATTTTCCAGCGACGAGTTGCCGCCTGTGTCTCCGCGCGGGAGTCCTCTTTGGATGGCCCCGGAGGTGATTCGCGGGGAGTATCAGGGGCCGGAGTCTGACGTGTGGTCGCTGGGATGCACGCTGATCGAAATGCTCACAGGAAAACCGGCGTGGCAGGGAAACGCCGTTGACGCGCTGAGACGAATCGGTTACTCCGGCGAGTTGCCGGCGTTTCCGACTAGGTTGTCTGAACTCGGCCGGGATTTCCTAGAGAAGTGTCTGAGAAGGGAACCACGCCGGCGGTGGAGCTGCGATCAGCTGCTGCAGCATCCATTTTTGTTGCCGTGTTCCGCCAGCGAAGTCGTGGAATCGTCGCCTCGGTGTGTTCTCGACCGAGTTGACTCAGAGTTTGCCGAGTTCGAAGAAGAAGAAGAAACGAGAACTGAAACTGAAAATTCAGCTAGGGATAGAATTGGTAAATTGGCAATGAGCGTTAGGGCAAATTGGGAAACACAAGGCTGGATGGCGGTGAGGGCAATGGCTTTTGCCGCGGAATCGACGGTGGCAGTTGAGGGTTCTGAGGGCGTTAGAGAAGGGACATATTGGGAAAATTCAACGATCACGAGGGTAGAACAGGAAATTAATAAAGGGGCAAATTCGGAATATTCATATTCCGAAAAAAAAAGGGTAAATTTGGAAACATGTAATTTGGTGCAGTGGCGAGATGAAGGCGAGAGTGAGTGGAACCGCAAAGAAAGTGTAGCTGGTTGGAGCTGTAGTTATGGGTGGGAAAATGTGGATAGGAATAACGGAATAATGAAAGCAAGCTTTTACAACTTGTATTGTAAATTATTGAAATCACATTGTTTATTGTTGGAGTATTTAAATATATATATAATTTATGTTTTTGGGTTATTTATTCATGTGAGAAAAACGTTTCGAGAATTTGTGTTTTAGAGTTAGGGAATGCTTGTTTGGAATTGACCACAGCACATGCAACCCAGCATTGTAGAGATTTGATAGTGAGATTGCATGAGTGGATATGGCTGCACCATGTACCCCACATGTTGTAGTTGAAATGGAGCATTGGGATATGGGACGATGAATTGGATGAGGTTGTGATCTTTGCTGGGCTTAACATAATGCACACCTGATGCAAATGCATTGGTGTGGTGAATTGGTGATGCTCTGTCTCTTGTTTGTGTCAATAATGTTGTAACTTCTGGATTGGGAAACTCCAAATTTAAGTTTAAAACGTACATTAAGAGTTGCAATTTTGAATTTGAATAGTTTCATCTCATGAAATTAATTCTGTTTAAAAGCAATGTTAAAGTGACGTAGGATTGGAGGGATGATATATCATATATGCAGCACATGGCACTTGCAATTGGGTGCTTTTTTCTTGTTCAATTTGCCAGAGATTGGACAAAGATGCATTATATGCGGTACAAGATGCGTGCCTCCTTCTCCTTTTCGCTTTGTGTTAATGGATAGAGAAAAATACCCAATAAGAGGAATAATCATGAAAAGAAAAGAAAATTTGTTTTTTTCGATTATTTTAACTGAACATTGGGTCTCTAAAGGATTTTGGCCATGAATTGAGGTCAGTGCTGCATCCATAGACCATAGTGACCCATCACTTCAATTGGCAAGCTCATCCACACGCTAGCAACAAGATAAACAAACACATCACGAAAAGATTAATTGATGACAAAGCAAGTGCAAGTGACGTTTACAAAGTTTCAAACAATTTTTGTATTAACATTCTAATCTTACAGCTACAACTTTATCACTTCTTTATACTGTGGATTAAGAAAAGTACCTCTCCTCCATGTGGAAGAGTAAACTATTTAAATTGAAATAATGATGAATAATAGGTTCATGAAACCATCTTACCTTAACAATTTCAAAATAAAATGGTTTTCTAGAAATAGTCACTAATTTCCTACGTGACAATTGGAATCTTTCAAAGAATAATCTTTGTTCTCTGGGCTGCCCATTCGAGAAAGTTCACTCAATTTTTAAAACAAGGAGATGGTCAATTGGAGTAAGCCAGAAAAATCAAATTTTGGGTCAACTGATTAACATTTTATATAGGTTGCAATATTGTATCACCCAAATGAGATGCTTGCTTTGAATTTGAATATGGTATGACCCAAATGAAATTCTTGATCACCTAGAAAAGTATGTTAGAAGCGAAAATTGAATCAGATAAATTAGACTTAATTTAAACTAAGAAGATGAAATTCATTTAATTTGACCAAATATAATTTTACCTCAATTACACTTTTGATCCTTTATCATAATTAATGTGTGATCATATCTTTATTTTTGGTCATCTATAATCATATCTTTCTATATCATCAATAACCAAGAATTGTTTTTTGTCGTCCAAATTCCATGCAAAAAAATCACAATCTCTCGCAAACTTGGGCCTTTTAAGCCCAACGCCCACAATATTACTGGGCCATAGTAATGGTGGGCCCTGATCTTCTGACGTGTAAAGAGCAAAAACATTTTTAGAAAGGAATGATCCTCCTTCCATTTCCACCTTGCTGTCTGTTTCTCTCTGCTCATTCCACACACTCTCCTTCTTCTTCTCCCTCTCTTTCTCGCTCTCGGGCTTCGCTGCTTCAGGTCTTGCAGCGTAACAGAGCCTCGTTCACCACTCAAATTCCTCTCTGATCCACTCTCACAATGGCTGCGAACGCTCCCATCTCCATGAGAGAAGCCTTAACGGTTCGTTTCTCATTTCCATTACCGAATTCCGCTTTTTCCGAACTTCATTTCCTTACTCAGATCCCAATGCCACGTGGCATTCTCGATTCCATTGTTGTTTTCTCACATTGCGATTCTGTGATCGTTTTTGCAGTTAGGAAGCGTCGGAATCAATGCGCAATTCATCACGTTCACGCACGTGACGATGGAATCGGATAAGTACATTTGCGTCAGGGAAACCGCTCCTCAGAACAGTGTCGTTATGATCGACATGAACATGCCCATGCAACCTCTCAGACGCCCTATTACTGCTGATTCTGCTCTCATGAACCCTAACACCAAAATTCTTGCTCTTAAAGGTAAATGTTATATGCTATGGTTACATTACTTTTTAATAGCGGTTCGAATTTGATCGCGATTTGGAGGGTTTGTTGTGTTATCAATGTTCTGTGTACTCCATGCAGCTCAAGTTCCTGGCACTACTCAGGATCATTTGCAAGTATTTAACATTGAATCGAAAAGTAAGATGAAATCGCATCAAATGAACCAACAGGTGAACATTTTAATGGTTTTGATTTTGATTTTGGTGTGTGTGTTGTGTTGGGTTATGTGTGTGATTATTAATTATTGATTGCCACGTGCTCTGTTTCCTTTAGGTTGTCTTTTGGAAGTGGATAACCCCGAGAACACTAGGCATAGTCACTCAGTCATCTGTTTATCATTGGTCAATAGAAGGTAAAGACGTATTGTTCTGTTGCCTCTTTATGGTGGTAATTCTGCATATGACAGTGGATCGTTTTATAATGTGTTACTGGAACATTTCTGAATTGCGAATTTAATATTTTTAACGTATCTCATATGTAGGTGATGGTGAGCCGGTTAAGATGTTTGACCGAACAGCTAATCTGTCAAATAATCAGATAATCAATTATCGTTGTGATCCTAGTGAGAAGTGGTTGGTGTTGATTGGAATTGCCCCTGGTTCTCCTGAGGTATGTGTTTCCTCTCTTGGAGTTTTCTAGGCCTTGCACTTGGAGGTATCAGGATCAGCGATTCCCCTTATTGTATGTTACACAACACCATATATAACAGTATGCAATATTTTTTGACCCTTACAGTTAAATCGATATCGGTAATAGGAACTGGAAGTTAACCATGTCTGACATCAATCGGCATTGTGTGCAACATGAAGGCTATGCTATATATTACCTAAATTTGAAACCTGTCATAGACCAACAATCTCAAAAGATTCAGTTGTTAGGCGAAGATACATCTAACATGCCTCCTCACACAAGATCCCTTTGGGTGGGCTTAAGTGTGGATGATGCACAGGCCCACTTGTGCTGAATTCAACCTTTTTATTAGAAGAATGGAGGTGACAAGGAATGAACTCTAGATCACTTGGTTATAGAAACTTTGATATCAAATGCTTAAGCTATTAAGGGAAGACACATAAATGGTTTTATAATACATCAGTAACAAAATCAAACTATGAGAAAAAAAAGAATACGATAAGAAAAGGGAAGAAAGTTGTCCAGAACTGTATCTTTGGAGAGTAGTAAAAAATAAGGTGGCCTCAACACCATGTGATCAAATTGCTGGCAGTATTGTACTTCATAGTTATCAATTTTGGATAGCGGTGCGTAGCGACAGACACCAAAAATGCTATAGTAGAATAACTATAACCGAATGACTACTATTTAGAAATTTTATATATAAATTAAATAATTTAAACTATGTATATAAATGCTAAAAGATATTTAAAAAAGCTCAAAATCCATGACATATGCATAATTAAAAGTAAGAAGTCATAGTTCTTAGGCATAACATACAAGTAAGTAACAATAAAAGTATAAAAAATCCCTCAAAGCAATAACTTTTATGGCAAAAATGAATTTGTTTTTTAAAAGTTTCACTCTAGAGCTGCAATAGCAGCATTGCGGCCGCTATTCAAATTTTATAGCAGTCTATGGCTGCTCAGCTGTTCCACTATAGTGCCACTATTAATAAATATGTGTACTTACTACTATTTTATTTTTTTATTTTAATATATTGACAATGGTTTAAGATATATGTTGGATAAACCATTAACCATTCGATAATGAATGTTGACTCAATCCTTACAGTTATATAATTGGGCAGAGGTTGAATTTATATATGGATGGGCTATATGGTTAATGGATAAATAGATCCAATTATCACCTGTAGTAGTAACAAACCTTTCCCGTCCTTTTTCCTTGCTGCAATAAGTTATGCACTTTTTGTAATGTGCATAAAAGTCCCTGAATGTTTAATCTTTTGACATGATTCAGATTGCAGAATATCAAACCTTCCAAAATTATCAGTTGTTGAGTGATGGTATTTTATTTTGTTGCTTACAGAGACCACAACTTGTAAAAGGAAACATGCAACTCTTCTCTGTGGATCAACAACGGAGCCAGGCTCTTGAAGCACATGCTGCCTCATTTGCCTCGTTTAGAGTATTTTTGTCTTCTTTGTGATTTGTAATATGAATTTTAACCTTGTGGTTCATAGGTTGAATGCTGTTTGATATTTTGATTTTTGCAACATGTAGGTTGCTGGCAATGATAAGGATTCAATTCTTATTTGTTTTGCATCAAAGAGCATCAATGCTGGACAGGTTACTTCGAAGATGCATGTCATTGAACTTGGAGCCCAGCCAGGTATAACTGCATAAGCATGGCTAGATTATCCTTTAGTAGCCAATCAACACATCACATACCTACATATTGGTATTTTTTTTTAAATCTTCAAAGTAAATATAAATTTTCAGGGTCAAATTATCAATTAATTAATAAAATAGGAGATGATGGTACATTAAGCGATAGAAGTTTAGCTTTATTATATATCATAAATATAAAAGGACCCTTTTCAAATGGAGGAAAAAAATGTAACTATAAAACTTCCATTGAGTATATATTATAAGTAGTTCATGTTCTTGCCTCCAAATCATGTTTACTCGCTACCTTCTGGTAATGTGGTATTTGTTATCAGGGAAGCCATCATTTACAAAAAAGCAAGCAGATCTGTTCTTCCCTCCGGATTTTGCTGATGACTTTCCTGTATCAATGCAGGTATATGTGTAAACTATAGGATACACAATTCCCAATAGAAATTATGTTGAATATTTGATTTGTTTTTATTATGCAGATTTCAAATAAGTATGGCTTGATATATGTTATCACAAAACTTGGGCTGTTATTTGTCTATGATCTGGAGACTGCCACTGCAATTTACAGAAATCGAATCAGTCCTGATCCAATATTTTTGACCTCAGAAGCATCATCAGTGGGGGGCTTCTATGCTATAAATAGACGTGGCCAAGTCTTGCTTGCTACTGTGAATGAGGCAACCATTGTACCCTTTGTTAGTGGCCAGGTATTTAATGCGTAACTCTGGTTTTGTTTAAATTGAT